CGTCTGAGCATCGCTTGGCTGTCCCGGAGTCGGCGGCACGGTAGTCGGCTCAGGCTCGTTACCGAGCACAGCGTGCTCCTCAAGCTGATCATAGTCATATGAGGGCTGCCCGAGAACATTTCGCATGGCCGCGCGGTTGGGCTGTAGCCCCACCGCCTGGAGACCCCATCCCGGCGGAGGAAGCGCCTGTCCACGCATGGTGATAGCCCTTTCAAGGGCTTGGCGCCATCGCCCTCTTGAGTACCATGCATGTCGCTGCACGTCCTCAGGGTGCGCGCTGTCGATGAGAGTGAGGGCCGCCAACAATAACTCAGAGTCGTCACAGGCATCGGTGTCTTGTAGCATCATTTGGCCACTCTCGACACTCTCTTGACTCTCGGGATATGCTACGACCAGTACAGCGTGCATCTGCATGAGAGTCTGCAGTATCGTGTACGGTCCGTACTCGCCTGGCGCGAGCGCGCCAGGTGGTACGCGAGGATTTTCTGGCGCGCCCGCGGTGAATGCTTGAGCCTCTAATACCATCAGATCACCGTAATTTGGCGGATGCACTGGAGTGGGCCTGTTTCCAGGCATGAGGTCGGGTCGACGTCGAAGGTTGTGGTCAACCTCCGAAGGCGAGGCCTCGACAGTGACTTCCTCGTCGCTGCTCTCGTCGGCCATGATTTTGCCTGGGTTACCGAACATCCAGTCGAAGGAAGAAAAGGGCTGGTTTCCCAGCGTTCCGCTCTCCACAGGCGTAAGTTCGTTATTTCCGATGACGAACCTGCGGAGGTACTCGAGGTAGTGCGCGTAGAGCCCATGGCCGCGCGCCTCGACCTCATCCAAACTGTCCACGTTGCTGACCCAAGTGAAAAATATCTGTTCCGCAGCCTCGAAGTCTTGGAGGCTCAGATATTCAATAGAAGGTTCACTTGAGCCTAAATGGACTTCGGTCGATCGACCCTTTCCATTTCCCTTCGCTGGACAATCCTTTACAAGGTGATCGGCACTACCACATTCATGGCACTTCAAGACCTGGCCGTCTCTACCTCGCGGGTTTCCCCGCCTGCCCTTACCTTTGCCGGAGGTTTCCCTACGGCCTTTTCCACTGCCTTTTCCCCCGAAAGATATCTCATCAAACTGATCATCTGAAAACCTCTGGAGGAAAGCCGTGACGCCGCGTCCGTTCAACCATCGGCGACCCAGTTTGCCTTTACCTTTTCCTTTGGAGCTCCTCCGTATCCTCCTCCTAACACGACGCACTGGTTTTCGTGTGAACCTCCTCCTCCTACGCTTTGCCTGTTGTAATAATCAGAACAGATGCTCGGCACGCTGATTCTCACCTTCCATTTGCATGATATCTGCAGTCTAGTGGTTCGATGCCGTCTGATGATGTCGTGTCAGTGTCGGTGCCGGAGTCGAAATCGTCGTCACCTAAGTAGGTGGACACACCGTGTTTAGGGGATTCGCTTCACCCCATAGGGAGCGGAGAGGTTGAGGTTCTCTAGAAGGAGGGCTGGTTGCCCGGCTTGGCTGTGATCGACCCCCTGCTGGTAGGGCAGTGGATTCTCCAGGGTCGTCGGCCCATATGTTTGAGGGCCCGTTGTCAGGCTGAGCTTCAGTGGTTAAGGTAGTATAGAAATTTCCACTGCCAGCTCCCCTTCCCCTTTCCAAACACTGATCCTATGTTGCCAGGAGACCGTTCTGACAAATGGCCGATCGAACGCATCCTCGCACACAGTTCGTCATACTGCTTCAGTGTTCGGGGCATTTGGTGGTTGAGTGGCTGTAAGAGTTACATGGCTCGCTGGATGCCAACGCCTAGGGCGCGGAACAGGATAGTCGTGGGCAGTTGGAAGTTGGGAAGGTCAAAACCCACCGACTGTGCCTGAAGACGGGCCATCCCGAACCCAGTAAGGGTTATGTCGATTCGTTCTCCGTGAGGCACATGAAAGTCGATGAGCTGAGTGCCTGAAGTGAGCTGGCGCTCATCTTCCAGGCTTTCGAACTCCATGCTTAAGAAGAACATAATGCAAGTTACTGGGTCGGTGTGGGCACCATCGATGTCCGCACCATAGTTTATGATGTCAGGTGGTACCCTCATGGCGAGTGTCCTCGCTAGGCCGCCCAGGCCACGTTGTATGGCGGCTGCTTGGGCTTGTGGCGTCATGCGTCCACTCGTGACGTTCAGCCACGCGTTGACCTCGTAAACGTACTCGTCAAAGGGTACGTTGCCTTGAGGGTCCCAGTATGGGCCATGTGTTTGCCCATCTGTGCTATTGTCTCCTCGGCGCATGTGTCCGATTGCCGCCCCCAGCGCAAACCATATGATGGCGAAAATAACCCACCCTAGGCTGTGAAGATATGGGTGGTTATCAGGCGCGTTGCCGCGCTGGGGTAGGGCTGGTAGCGCCTTGTCAAGTCTACGAGGCGCTTTATCTTGCGGGTCTCCCCGCCTACGCTTCAAGTGCTGCGCTTTGGGCTCGTTGCCGAGCGGTTGGTAGTAGCGTAGGCATGAGGCGTATATGGTACCAATGTTGTTGTCTAGACGTCGTACCTCTCGTGTTGCTTCTTGCTCTTGTGTTGATCCTCGTAAGTGTAAGTGGAGTGGTGGCGCAGGGTAGAGGTTGGTCACGAAGATCGTGCCGGGTAGCGTGAGGATAATAAGAGCAAGAGCTGACCACACGAGAGTGCGGCCAGCTCCGCTACCAAGTCTGAAATAACTCTGGCAGGTCATATAGCATCCAATTCCATGTCGAAGGAATACGATATGGGGAGTGGATGGATCGGATAGGGTAAGATCGATGTAGTGATCTTTCCAGCACATAGCGAACACTAAGGTAAGTGTCCGGGCAAATAGGGCGCGCGTGCCTTGAGCCAAAGCAGCGGCGCGCAGGCTATACTCCCGATCCTCTATAACATCTCCCAAAGAGCTACCCTTAAAGTCAAGAGAACCCCAAGACGGCCCAAGACGGCCCAAAAAGCCCGGTCCCGAGGCGTCCCGAGGAAGCCCCAAGAGGCCCCCAAGAGGCCCCTCAGAAGCCCCAAGAGGCCCAAAGAGGCGCCCAAGAGGCTCCCAAGAGGCTAACAAGATACCCCCAAATTGCCCCCAAGAGGTCTCCGATAGCGCTCCGAAGGGACCCCACGAAGCATCCTGAGAACTCTGACCCACAGCCCAGGCATGGTGACGGGATGGGGCACAGGCCATTCAAACACACATCATAATACAATGAACATGGCAACGCAACCAGCATACCATAACATACATGACGCACTACTGCTACCACTCCTGCTACGATCATTGCATAACACCATCGGCTATAACATACTTGTTTAGGCGTGTCATACCGGGATCACATCATGCCATGCAGGCGTGTAGCATAATGAACGTAGTCTAGCGTAATAGGCATGGCAGAACAGAGCAGACCATACGATTGCACCATGCCGTACACAGTCATTACACGGCAGAGCTCGTTAGAACAATATCAACTTTAACAGAGTCAACCACCACTGAAAATGGTCATCATACCGTACTCGACCGGGTCTGGATACAATCAACCGCGACGTGCGCTTCGATGTAGGGCTGACCACAGAAACAGACAGGCGCAGCAACGACTGATACGACGACATATATGACGTGACACGCCACGGCCTCACGCTGGTCCTAGAGAATACAGCATAACATAATAAAGTAGACCATGCTAGAACATGGTCGAATATACCATACTTTGGCTTTGTTACATACAGCAGCGACCGATTCATCGCCCCCTGTCAAATGCAGCAGCCACGCCGACGTAATGCTGGCCACAGGACTCAAGTAGTGGCAATAACGATCGGTTAGAGGAGATGTCAAACGTGACAGGCGCCACGGCGTGACGCCGACAATTCGAGACCAAACCAGAACATCCCATACGTGCATAGAACAGAACATAACATAACATACCATAACATTACAGTGTATCATACAACAGAGACCGAGCACTGCCGTCGAGTCATACGCGACATGCGCGACGAGCCCATGCTGGCAACAGAAACAAGCAAATAACAACACAACGAACGATAAGACTTTATATCATTCGTGACAGGCGTCACGACGTCGCGCTGGCCCGTCCAGAACATAACATAACATAGCGTGGTGCTACTTGCTACAATGGGGAAGATCCCAAGCGAACGCAATCTAGCACAACCTTTTAAAGCAGCCACCGATCCACGGCGTCTCATCAAACGAACATTGTAACATAATCGACCGTACCAAAACATACGCAGGCGCGACGTGCGCACCGAGGTCAGGCTGGCCACGGGAACAAACAAGCGCAACAACAATCAACGATTGGACAACGCATCTCACGGCGTCAAGCCAACTCGTCGAGAACAAAAAAGAACATCTTACAATACGCTGGAATCGAACATGATTGGATATAACAGAGTTGCTATGGCTGAAAGCAAAATGCAGCAATGACATATTCATTGCGCCGTGACAGACACAACATTCACGCCGACCTAAGGCTGGCAACATGAGAAACACTTGCGCAGCAACGACCGAATAGACGTCACGCCGCCCGGACGAAGAACATAACATAACAATAACATATGTGCATACGGTAGGTTCGTGTCGTGCCAACGCTGGCGTTGGTTTCGTACACCGTGCTGGATCGTTCAACCTTGAACGATGGGCCATTTCCAAAACGCTGGATCGTTCAACATCGACCGATTCTGGGTCGCCGGCGGCGTTCAATATTGAATGCCAATGGCGGGGTCGCCGCCGGTCGACACGACACGAAATTACCATAGAGCAGGACAGAGCCGAACACAACGTGACATAGTAGAACGCAGCAGCGGCGAAGCAACGGCGTCTAATCAAAAGCGACGTGCGCGCCGACCTCAGGCTGGCCACATTGACGGGCAGTACCAGACTCGGGAACCAACGCCGAAAGTTTCGGTGGGCACCGCTCGAAACACAATCATGTCCGCACCCATTTCGTGCGTCTGGGAGGGGGGAGGAGGGAGGAGGGGAGAACCTCTGCCTCTTCTCGGTCAGCAGGCCCGAGAAGAGGAGCCGCTCCTGCCGCTCGCACGCGCGCCGCCCGATCGCCGCGAGCAGGGTGAGCGCGAACAGCGTGATGCTGTTGAGGGCCCTCGCCGCTGGGACGGTGCTGCCGATGATGTAGGCGGGGACCTGAGCTGGCGGCGCGCCGAGGGGGGTAGGGAGAGGGGGAACGCTTCTTGGAAGGAGGCTGCTTCTCAGAAGGCGTCGGCCATACATCTATAGATGCGGCCCGCGCCTTCTAGGAAGCAACCTCCTTCTAGGAGCCTTCCCCCTTCCCCCTACCCACCTCTGCGCGAGGCAGTCTGAGCATCGTTTAACCGATCCCTATCCCCGCTGGTGTGGCCTTGGCCCCGCTGGTCAACTTGCCCCACTCTGTGGGGGTGCTGTTCCCTTCGGGTCTCGTGGGGCCTGTTCCCCATCTGGGAGGGTGAGCTGGTGGGTCAGAGTTACCATGATCCAGTTGGGATGGGGAGAGGTTAGACGATGGTGAGGACCACGTACACCAGGACGGCCGCTACCTCCAGAGGGAGCAGGGCCACCCAACGGATGGGTGCCAGGTGCGCTACGGTGACGCAGAGATCTATCATGAGCAAGTTGTGGGTGTCCAGGGTTGCCATGACCTCGGCGGAGAAGCCGAACACCGCTCTGGTGTTGTCATGGCCAGCAATCCTGGCCATGTAGTGAGAAGTGGTCAACGCGACAAAAGACATCAGAAACGTGACCGATACCACAATGGTGATTTCCAGTGCCCCCGGCCCGATGCGGCCACGAAGCGCGAGGGATTTCCCCACAAACAGCACAAATACATAGACGAATACAACTACGGAGTTCAGAATCAACTTGAGTTTCATCAGATCGCGACCATCGTCCGTTGGGAGATCTGCAGCAAAATGGCTAGAGCTTGGACCCATACCGGATCTCAGAAGATTTGCGAGCATTATGAGGTAAATGAACAAGGTCACAATTGCGTAGTTTGATGCGGAACGAGATAGGCGCGCCTTGCGAAAAACTGCGAAGCCGTGTTCCTGCTGAGGGTTGCTGAATCTCAAAGTAAAGGTCGCAACCCCATCGAGGTGGTTGTGATCCTCGGGAATGCCCCAGACATGGCAATTTATGCTGTCTATAAAGCTGCGGAGGTGGCGCCGCCACCTCAAAGGACACGGGCACCAACACATGCGTTGAGCCAGCGTTGCCGAGCAGAAACTCGTTGCCGGCCGTGGACCTGAACGCCGCATTGACCCCATTGAGCCCAACGGCTATGCGAAGGCGGGAAGGGGGGCTTTGCGAAAGCATCCAGAGCCCACTATAACAAGTCCGCCCCTTGGGGACGCAAGGCTGCGAAGTTTCTGTCAGCCTGCTGCCTGGTGCGATTCGTAATGTCTTTCGCCTTGTCTCACCAACGCAGTCACCACCATTCTGTCTATAAGGGTGGGCCTGCACGGACAACATAAAACGCCTGGATGGGGATCCCCAAGCCTCCAAACCGCCGTAGGTTGCCCCAGGATTCCAACAGGGATACAACTAGGCAGCAGGGAGAGCCCACGAGGCCTCGAAGGCGACCCCAGAAGGGCCTCAGAGAAGGCCTCAAGCGGCCAAGGCGGCCGAATGTGGCTCCAATATGCCTCTAAGATGGCGTGAGAGGACCCCCAGACGTCCCAAAGAGAGAGCAGCACACAGTGAAACAGACATGTTGCGCTTCAATGTTTAATTGAGTGTCCCGTAAGTTGCTCCCATGACGTGCCAATATGCCATCAGAACCCCCGACGCCTCCGATGTTACTCAATACGGTCCCACTGTGCCCCCAAAGGCCTTCAGATGCCGCCAGGATCGCCCATGGCACATCCAGAAGAGCAGACCGCACTTTCAAAGAGAAGAAAATTGGCGCGGCGCGCAGGTCCAAACAAGATTTGCGTTGTGGGATTGCTTGTACCCTACAAAGTGTTTGCACATAGGGGTTCTTAGCTGGGTTCCTGAAGTAAATGGACGGGGTCCGCAGAGGATTTGCCACGTTGCTTCCCAGGGGTTGCACAGGCCCGTTCGCTCCCAGATTGTGAGGATGTCTGTGGCGGGTTACTTCTTGTTTTTCCGAAACAATGCTTGTTCTTGGTAAGGTCTCTTACTTCTCTCAACGAATTCCGTCATGCGTCCAGTTTCTGATACTGAATCACGAACGCATTGGCCGGCTTCCGTTCCTTATGGGCTGCACCACGAGTTCTGCATGAATTGTCGGCATCGGCGGCGCAGCATCACTGCCGATCCAGCCCCACAAGTGATGCCAGACTACTGCAGACTCGCACGCTGCGTTGCACCAGGCGAAGGTACACCCCGGCAAAAAAAAACAGAGGTCGGCTTGTCGAGTGCATGGCCTTGGCGGACCCATTCCAGTCCGTCGCCTCGCCAATGCTTCCAAAATCAAAGGCCCTCACTCGGACTGGGTGGTCTAGCTCGGGTCCGTCGCCGCCGCCCCGCATTGCAACCGCACTGCGTTGCATCGCACTGCGCTGCTTTGGCAAGTCGATTACAACACAGAGATAGCACCACCTACGGTGGGGGCATTTTTTAGTATTTTTATCCTATCACCCTGGGGCTTTTCATGCAACGACAAATTCAGAAGCCGACTTACGGCCCCGCAAACAGTGCTTGCGCGAGCCCGCAGCCCGCCAGGACCAGACCCCGAAGCACGGCAACCGTCACTCCGCGCTCTGCCCGACCACAGGCCTGGGGTCCACGATCCTGGCCACTCTGGCGGCCCTGCCACGCTCCTGAGCCTCAGCAGCGCTGGCAAAGCCAAAGGAGCCCAGGACTCCCTCAAGCCCTGGGCGGAACAGCCTCGCAGGGGCAGGCGGGGCGGGTGCCCGTTCCCGCACCTCGAGGGGCTCCACTGCGGGGGCTCGTGAGTCAACAGGGGCCCCAAGGTCCTCCTTGTCCTCAGTGCCCGCAGCCGTGCCGAGCGCCTCGGCCCACCTGGCACGAGTGGCCTCTGTGGGCCGAGCCAACTTGTCAATCGGCTGCTTGAGTTTTGGCAGAAGCGATTTCGCGAAATCATTACGCGCCTGCGCCCTGGAGCCCTTTTTGGCCCTGGGGTCGCCAGCGCGCTGGGCCCCGCCACAGGCCTTGGCAAGGCCTCGGTGGCAGTACTGAGGTTTCACGCAATACATCCAGCACGCCACGCAGACCAGAAACACAGGGTCATCACTGCCAGAAACGCGGGATTCCCTAAGCCGGTGGCCGTTGACCTCCCAAACCCCCGACTCGCCAGGGTCGGGGGGCACCAAGCGAGGCCCTGGGGGCCCAACCTGGCCAGCAGGGCCCGAGGGGGCACTCAGAGGGGGGTCGGCAGCCACAGCGGCAGGGGAGGCCCCAGCGGAAGGAGTGGGCGAGGGGTTCGATCCAGCCGACGCGGGCGGGTTCAGAGCGCCTGCGGCCGAGGTCGTTGCCCACTGCGCCTTGTCCGCGCGTCTGCGCTGGACAGCACGAAACAAGGCCGCCGACGCGCTCGACGCGTCTGCTGCTGGCTCACTGGGCCTGGCGGGCCCGTCGCCTGCCTCCTCCCTCATGTGGACCTTCGCGTCGACCTTCTCCTGGGCCTGGGCTCCCTGGCTGGCCGCAGCTGCCGCCGCCAGCGCCGCGGCTGCCCCCGCGGCCTCCGAGCCGCCAGAGCCGCGGGCCGCCGACTCCTCGGCCTCCAGCAGCTGCTCCAGGTCGGGCGTCGAGACGAAGGGGTCCAGGTCCACGAGGTCCAAAGAGGTGAGCGGCCAGGCATCCCTGAGCCCCGACTCGGTGATGTGCACCTCCAGGGCCGCCGCGCACCTGGCCACCTCCTTCGCCCGAGCTAGGCAGCCCTCCAACATCAGGGCGTCCTGCTCAGCGATGGCGTGGAAGGCTGCTCCTTCCTTTGCCCTGGTGTCGGCGCGCCTGTAGCCCAAGAGCTCGAAGAGGGTGAGCTCCCCGTCACTCACCGCGGCTTCGGAGCGGTGGGCTGGCACGTGGCGTATGTTGACGCCCTCCGCTGCATCACCGACCCTGGCCCACACGTGGGCGTGCAGGGAGCTGGGGCCGCAGGCCTTGGTCAGGTTGGAGGCCGCCTTCACCGTGCTCAGGCAGTCGCTGAGCAGCGTGTAGTTCCCGATGATGTCGGCGAGGCCGATGGCGGCGGCGTAATCCTCCCCTGCCTTGGCCGTCTGCGACGGGAGGTCGCTGGGGGGCACGGCTCCCCATGCCTCGGCGAGGAGCCTTCCTTCGGGCCCGTGCACGATGACGGCCCACCCCGCGCTCCTGACGTGCGGGAAGTCCCCATTCAGGCACGAGCCGTCGGTGAACACGAAGGACCCGTCTGGCACCACCAAGATGCCGTCCCCCCACCCGCGGGATCTCCACGCCCAGCTGTCGTCCCAAGCTGGCCTGGCAACGAGGAGGCTGATGTCGGCGAAGAGCCCCTGGCTGAAGAGCTCTTCGAAGGGGGGCCCCATGCGGTGGACCTGCTCCGCTGCCTTTCTCACCTGGCACGGGCAATAGTCCCGCCTCCAGGGCGCCCATGCTGGACACTCGTGGCGCCTATGGTGCATCGTCCCAGGGGCGGCGCCGCAGAGTCTGCACAGCGGGTCGATCTCTCGTCCACGCCTTGCCAGTCGGGCCTGGGGCCAGCTGGCCAAGGACGCCAGGCGTCTCAAACAGCCTTTGTGGTGAGCCGTCCAGGTTTCCGATTCCTTGGCGCCAAGGAGCTGGTTGATCGGCGTCCACCACGGCGGCAGTCGCCACTGCCAGAAGGTCTCGGGCCTGCTGGCGTACTCCTCGAGCGACGCCGCCTGACGCGTGTCCTCCTTGACCTTTGCGGCGAGGAAGGCGGGCGAGAACCTCGAGACCTCAAACTCTCTGCCCGCCCTGTCGGTCAGGACCCGTCCGCCAGCGCTGAGGCCCCAGCCGACCCGCCCCAGCGTGAGCACCAGCGCCGAGACGGGGTCGCGCACCGCTGCCCACGGCCTCTGCAGCGAGGCCAGTCGCCTGCTGTCCCTGAGGCAAGCCTGCACAGCGGCAGGGGAGGCCTGTCCAGACCAGCACATGGAAACGAACGCCTGGACTGCCAGGCCCGTCGCAATCACCAGCGGATCCTGCCTCCAGCCCTGGGGGGCGCACTGCAAGCAGAAGGTCAGCGCCGCGCCCGTCGGCAGGTTGCAGGCGGCTTTCGCCGCCGATACCCTGAGCGCCCTCATGCGCCCAGGCGGGACTCCGTTGATGGCCGAGCCCCACAGGGCCTTTGCGGTGGGGCCTGCCCTCTGGATCTTGGCCTGCCTCATCCCTGCGCCGAAGATCCTGGTGAGGTTGCTGCCCTGCCTCAATGCCGCCAACTTCCTGGCCACCTGCGTCTCGACCCTGCGGTGGCCGCCTGCCGCCGCATCTCCTCCCAGGTCGCGGTGGCCAGAGACAAAGGCTTCGTCAGCTAGGACCCAGTCGGCGTGCTGCTGCAAAGCTCTCTTCAGACTCGCCGAGGAGGCCAGTGCCTTGGTCTTTTTCCAGTTGATGGGGAGACGCTTGTCGCCCAGCATGGTGGCAACTCCCTTGGCGAACCTGGCGATCTGCTCGACGACCAGCCTGCGCGTGCCGATTCCGTGGCCTGAGATGTCGTCGATCACATTGACCACCCCTTCCGATCGGCAGCATCTTCCTCGACTTCAGCAGGAGATCGTACAGCATGATCCTCGCCATCGTCGTCGCGCAGGAGCATCCCGCGATGACGGTGTCGTCGATGACCAGCTGCTCGCTGAGGGCTAGGTCGGCCCTGGCCCTGCGGGGGCCTGAGTATAGCACGCACAGCGCCTGGATCAGCCCCGTGTTGAAGTCGCAGCCCCTCGCCGCGTCTAGGAGCAGCCCATGGTTGATCTGCTCGTAGAACTTGCTGGGGTCGAAGTAAACCGACGCAGCCTCGAAATTCTTCTCGCGCGCCAGGCCGAGCAGAAGATTGTAAATGTCGGCCGCCCTGTCACAGCTGGTGTCAGGGTCAGCCCCCCCAGTACTCGGGGAGCTTGTGGTCCCGCTCCCAGCCCGCGCAGCATTTGCGCCTGATGCGGCTCCAGATGCGCAGCCAGCTGCAGAGGAGCCCGATCGGGCGGCGGCCCCGTCGGGCTTCCCCAAGAAGACGATGATCGTGGTGAACAGCTCCGACGGCTTGGGGCGCCGTTCCCAGGCTGTCAAGATCGCTGCCAGCCTGGCCGCGCACTCCCTGCCAAGGCTGAGGATGAGGCTGGGGTGGAAGGCGTCCCA